GAGCGGTTTTGGCGTTCTTGGGGAGCGATGCTGAGCAACGCGACGTGGATGCGCAACGCGACGAATCCGTCCACCGTCCTGGAGCTGGCTGTGCCCGTGCACCGCGGTTACTTCATTGCAGCCGACGAGACGATAGTCATTCGCTGCGACGCTGCGGCGGTGTTCGGGGGCTGCAAGGGAGTGCTGCTTGGGTCCTTCACGATCAGGTCCAACACGCTGCCCGCCGCTGCCAGCACCCTCTCGGCGATCACCGGTGTCGTTGCGGGTGCGGCGGCTGTTGCCGTGGTGGTGACCGGCGGGCTGGGCTCCATCCTGGAGATGCAGGCACTCGGCGTGTTCGCGAGGATGTCATGCGCCTCGCCGCAGGAGCGTGCGAGCACCGTTGCGCTGCCGTACTTCCTGTCGGTGTTTGCTGCCCCTGACCCGCTGTGGATGGTGGTGGGCAACGCGCTGCTCGCCGCCGTGTTTGGGTGCGTGCACTGCGGTGTGACGGCCGCCTTCCAGCGGTGGCGCGGCGTGGACGCGGCGAGTGCGTGGGCGGCGATGCGCTTCCCGAGCCTGACGTACGTTGTGGCGCACGCGATGCACCTCGGCATTTTCTTTTGCTCCGTGTTCGCACTGGCGATGCCCGACTCCCGCGTGCAGCACCGCGTGGTTGGTGTCGTTGGTTTGCTGCACGGTGTGGCGTTTCCTGCTGGCGTGTGCTACTTTATTGCTCGCCACGTGGGCGCGAGCTTCACGAGGTACTGGCAGTTTTCGAGGAAGCCGCTGCACGAGCGCCTGCTGTACCCCGTCGGGTTTTGGCACCCCGCGGCGCAGCAGCGGATGTACGGCGGCATGCTGACGAACATGAGGGGCAGCCGCGTGTACTGGTGCGTGTTCCAGCTGTCGGTGCTGTGCGTGGTGTGCCTGATTGCGGCTGTGCACCCGCCCGTGGGAGGCTGCCACGTCCAGTACTTCTGCATGGCGGCTGTGCTGCTTGCGGGCGCGGGCGTGGTTGCCTTCACGAACATGATGCGCTCGGCCTTCCTGACGGTGATGCACGCGGCGAGCTTTGTGCTCCTTGCGGTGCTGTGCCTGGTGAGCGCGGCGAACCATCTTGCGCCGAGCGACGGCGGTGCGAAAGCGTACGCGGCGATCGTGCTGCTGCTGACCGCTGTGCTGCTTGCGATCGCTGTGTACAGCGTCGTTGTGTGGTACGCGGAGGACCGCCACTGGCAGGAGCTGCGCGAGCCGCGGCGTGGCGGACTGGAGGCGCTGCTGCGCGATGACGAGGAGAGCGACGAAGAGACGCAGAAGCTCCACGAAAGGACGTCATCGTCGTACGCCACGGGCACCACCGTTGCGTCGTCGTACCGACCACCCGCACCGCCGTTGCAGCCCATGGCTGGTGACACCCGCTCAGACGCCCTGAGCCTGCTCGAGTGTGCATCGAGTGCGAGAGGCAAAATTGATCACGCCCTCCTGTGACGTGCAACACGTGGAACTGACAGGCGTGCGGTGTGCGGTGATTGAGGAGCCACGGATGTGCTGCGCCCCACAGCCAGCCATCGTTAACAGCACCGACGGTATTGTTGATTGTTGTTTCTATCGATGTGTTTCTATTTTGAGCGGGTGCTTTCAGGAGTTTTTCCCGTTTCATGATGACTGTGTGGAAGGGGATTGTACTGTCGCCCTTGTTGCTCCTGATGTTGTGTTGTATCGGACTGTAATTTCATGGAGTTGCGTGCGAGGAATTCAACGCCCATTTTGTGCAATGGAGGAGGGATCCAGCGAACCGCCTATTGGAAGTAATGAATTGCGGCTCTGCCTTACCGTGGGTTTGCATGCAGGGGCCATTACAATTCTCAGGAGCAAAGCGGCGACAGAGTGGTAGCAGGACTCCAGGTTTCCAGGAACGCCGTTGAGCGGGATTATGTATTGAGGCGCGACGCATTGCCGTGATTTCGGGCTGCCCCGGTGTGTGCGAGTGCAGAGGGGGATCGATGTCTCTTTAGCGGTGGAAGTGACGGACCAAGCCATCCCAGTCACGTTCCACACTTATCCTCGAGCGCACCACCGCCATGGCTGTACCCCTCAGGTGTGCGCGTGGAACGTGGGAGCCTTGGATGCTGCGGCATTGGGATTCGTTGCCCGCTACGGCCTGCGTGTTTTGTTTGTGCAGGAGGTGTGACGGCCACTTCCGGCAATTTGCACATCCCTTTACGGCGCGGCCTTTAATTTAATTGGCACACCGCATTCCACAGGCAAGGGATATGGTCGTGGATTGGCCACGCTGGTACGGGGATGCCTCCACGAGGAATTTTTCCTTTTTCCCAATTTCCCTTCGGCCGTGCGAAATTCATGCACCACAGCAGATACAGAGGAGTGCGGTGTTAGCATGGAGAGTATGATATTCACCGAGACCTTTTTCACGGCAGCGTGCGTGTCTGCACCTTCTCGTTGAACCGTGGAAGCACGCGAGCACACGTCGACGGTTCTGGATCACCTGGTGACTCACATTGTGGACGTACCCTTTTTTCTTGCCAGCAGCACCGAGGAACGCGCACACGGATGCAGTTTGTCCTTGGCCACTGCGGCGTACCCAGGAACGAAGCTTGTGATGCATAAGCCAAGGAGGCGTCCAACGTCGCACAGCTCACAGGCACATGGAGCACCGGCATCGTCGCATTGGCCGGACGTATTATTGGTGTCCGACAGCTCAGGCCAGGAGCTCACCGCTTCACTGTGTCAGGCGACTGGGACCCACGCGCACGGACTCCACTGTCACTTGCAGGGAGGAGACTGCACCAGCCTGCTCCCGCACCGGTGTTTCTCACGAATACGGATGGCTGCTACGACCACTGCAACCCGCCATCCCACGCACATGCCGTTGACGCGGCGCGGATGCCGCACAGCAGGCACGCAAAGAATTTTGCACGGAAAAGCCATCTCCTCCTGCTGGACCCCACACCGCCACGATCCGATGCCCGGCAGACTGCCCGGTGTGCGGCAAGCACTGCAGCTGCCGCACTAGTGTCGTGACGCAAATGGTTGACGCCCATGGCATTACGCGCTCCCTCAGGCGCTGCGGGAATTCGACTTTCCCAGTGAACCGGAGCCGCCAGAAATCCCACTGGAACCACCGCCCAGCACTTGAGCGAGGACGAGAGCGAGAGACGGCACACCGATCGCACCTCCGCCGCAGACTGCACAGCCCATGCCGAAGCCACTCCCATGCAGTTTTTGCACGGTGTTGTACGAAAGTCAAGCCGGAACCGTAATTCATCTTTGGCACTTCCACAAGCAAGAGTTCCCCCGACAAATAGGAGGCGTTGCCAGAAATATGACGGTCTGACGGCATCCACCGCGCTCGAATGCACGTACTTTGAATTGAGCGTTCAAGCGAAAGCGGGACCACTATCCCGCATACGGGCACACGAACACTCCCGAACAGAGCTACCGTCGGCACCGAAGAAAGTGGCACCTCATAGGTTCCCTTAATGCGGCAGGCAGGCGGGGAATGCCGGGGGATTGACCACCCACACCCGGCACAAACACCCGACAGAAAGAAAGTCGTGACACTAAAAATGGAGAATGAGTAACCACGCGCTGCAAAGCTCGAACTTTCGCATGAAGAGCATCAAGCCAACGCAGAACCCCCGCCTCCGCGCAGGAAGAGAATGCCATCGAGAAACAACGCACCGTGTGCCTAAATTGGCACGCACACATGCATTAATTAACGTCACGCTGTTGCCGATTTCCCGGCGGCAGAGGGCTCAGGCCGCCGAGAAGGCGCACGTTGCCCGGCGACGACATCCCGCTGCGACCACCACCAGTTTGGTTTTGCCGTTTAGCGTGCGGGTTTCCGTGCCACAGCAATGCCTGACTGACCCGCTACCGCACGGCACGCCACGGGCATCTACCGGACATTGTGAATACCGGCCGACTGGAACTGTGCGGAGAGGCAGGTCCGAAATTACTCCGCTGCCCGGTTCTGCAGGCACCCAGAAAAAAGCATGGAGCGGACATTGGAGAAGTGGGGAAGTTGTGCTTCACGGAAATATTGGTGTGGTTCCACTTTGAAGTGGAAAGGCACTGCACCATCAGTACCTCCGCGCGGCGAGAAGACACAAGGCCCCTCGCAGATGCGGCGGGCCGTATTTGCTCCTGGCAGGCTGCTCTCTTCTCCCTTTTCTCATTTATAGCGTCCATGTTTGGTTGGTTGGTTCTGTGATTTGTTGTTTTATTGATTCTTGGCAGCAGCGGATTATCGAGCCACCGCGCTATCCCCGGGGCGGGTGCGTAGCGGTGGTGTGTGCTTCACGGCCTCCGCTGTCCGGCTCCCACTTTGGGTGCCGGGTCTCTCTTTTACATCTTTAATCATTGAGCCGACGTGCTCTGCGATGGTGGCTGGCGTGTGGGTCTTCGTATTTATTTGAGAAGGCACGAGGAATAGTAACAATATATATATATATATATATATCAACAGCACTGAATAGATATTAATATCGACAACTATATACCTATCTGTATATACACATACACAGCCAATAAAACAGCAATCAATAAGCTGAGAAACCAAGAAGCCAAGCAATCTGTTAATGAGGAGGGGAAACAAGGATATATCCATATCTATACAGATGCATCAATAAATAAAAATAAAGTAGCGTTTTGTAGTCATACCCATATCGATATACCTATTCATTGATCGTTGCTTATTTTCATATCTATACCCCTCAATATAATGTTTTTACCGTTCTTTTCTTATTTGTGGCATTTTGCTTCCGTTATGTTATGTATTTTTCTCCCGTGAGTTTATGCTTACGTTTTTAGAGCGCATAGGCATTCCGTCCCGCGGACAAGGTTTCATACGCACTGAAGCACCCCATCGGACAAAAGTCGCAAGGGGCTTGCGAAGCCCATCCCAATTGAATGATGATTGCTATCTTCTTTGATCTCCTGAGGAGCTGCGACGTGTGAGTGCGTTGCCCCCGACACCCAACACAATGACAACTTTCAGCGAGCAGTTTGCAGGCTAATTGTGCAGTTATTATTGAGGTGTACTCCACACCCGTATTTTGGGGGTGAATGTACGGTGTACCTGTAGAGGATGCTGAGGGCGGCGTCAGCGAGACATGGGATAACATGTGCTCCGGAACAAGTGTGTGGCGTTGGCCAGAGGAGGTCTTGTGTCAACGGCATCATTGATTGATGGCCGGTGGTTTTGGGGCTGGGAGCTTCGGTGCTTTAAGGAATGGAACGGCGCTGGCTGACCAGGTGCCACTCGCCATCCAATCCCTCCTGGATGTGGCTTAAAAGACGGTGCGGGCGCATGCGGCGGGGGAAAAGGAAATATGACATTCTGTGGAAATGCACGTGGACGTGTCAGACCGTCACGATATCCCTCAACAAGTGTGGAGCCCCAGCTTGGTGCTTTGATCGTCCTGATAAAACTGCCTGAGCTGGAGGTGAGTGCGCTGAATTCCGTTTCACCAAATTTTCCTTCAGCTGACAGTCTGCGCAGCCGACGTGGAGGGACACCATGTGCACCTGTTTCCGGCGGGTGCGATGCCGTTTCCCACATATGAGGGCAATTTCCCTGATGATGTACTCTGTCGTCCTCACTTGATTCCCTTGACGACACGACGCAACGCGGGGTTGGTGCTGAGCGACGAAAGCCTTCCGTCTCGGTTGGAACCAAAACGGCGAGCCCATGAAGAGACATGCTGCTCGCGAATGGTTGATGCTTGGCCTGGGAGGAGTCTGCTTGCCACCGTGGAGCGTCTCATTTGCCTGATTGCAGCGCCCTCTACGCGTTGCACAGTTCTTATGCTCCTGAGTAGTGCCGATAAGGGCGGATTGCATGATGGTGTTTCATTGCTGGAAGGCTCTGTAAGGAGGAAAAATATTGTTTTTTTTTTCTTCATGGAGGAGAAGAATCCGCTCTTTGATTCAAGTACGAATGCCTTGTTGCAGTTCTTGTTGGCCGTTGGTGGCTTTGGTGTTTATTCCAATCAATGGTTCTCACTGGCGGTTTTACGACCGAATATCGACGGGAGTTGTCGTTTTTTTGGTCCACGTTGCTTGGCCCAACAATAAATTATTTGTGCAGCTGGACAACAAATTTCCTGTAGGCGTGGACCATGTTTTGCAGAATATGACCACAACGGCTACTGACCGTGCTGGTGGTTGTTGCGTCCTGTATGACTCTGACAACGTTCTTGCGGATTTCACTCTGTTGCGTGCAAATGATGTTACATCTGTGCCTCTTCGTGTGGCAGAGGCCTGAACCAACGGGGGCTAGAGTGTTGTGATGAATTCGAGCACAGACAACTCTTGTGTTACTCATCGTTGTGCTCGTTTTTGCTGCGGTTCTCGAAGTGGGGAACATTTTATTATTTTGTGCGGTATGGGGATCACTTATCCGGTGGCATATCGCCGTGTGGTGGTCTTTGGTTCAAAGGACCCTGTGGAATAGTTTGTGAGGGCGAGGGATGATGGCAGGACTGTCGTGCCCGCACAGAAGGAGACGAGAATGGGATTTTTGATGTGCCCTGTAACACTGCACTCTCGATTGCGTCATTGGATGCGTGCAGAGCAGGTGGCTCTCCGGTGTCTATCGGCTTCACGGCCAACCCGCTGGCCCTTCTGAAGGGCATTCAAGAGCATTTGTTCTCTGAGGGAGTTTCTGCTGGGTGGTCCGCACACTGCAGTGTCCGCTCCATTGGGCTTTTTCTTTGCTGAGAGGATGGTCAGCTGCGCTTATTGGACCCCTGTGGTGAGGGAGGGACATGGGGCAACATGCCCACCGTTTCGGTGGTGGCGTACCGCGTACTTGTAGCCGCGTTACGCAGGAGGCAGAATCATCTGTAGCAGGATGAAAGCAACGTGTTCTTGACCCTTGCCAGCAATGCACGGTCTTCTTGTTATTTTGTTGGGGTGTTTCTGCTGGATGACGAGTTTGCAAATGGTTACGAGGGATGTGTGGCAGCAGGGGTTTGAACGCCGGTTTTTTTTTTTCTGATGGGCGGTGTCGAGGAATTACAGGCGCTTGCAGATGTCATTGCCGGTGTGAGGGCAGGTGTTTCAGACACCCGAAGCGCGGCTGTTGGGAAGACGAGTTTCACTCTTGCAGCTGAGGCAGGCATCGACGAGGCGAATGTGCGTGCTCACCACCCTACTTTCTGTACTGTTTTGCCGCGACGACTGGATCTGATTGCCAGCCACATTGAGCCATCGCCATTTGGCTGCAACGTTGCCTTGAAGGGGTCGAGAGGCCGCAGAGCACGGCGTTTGCATTCATTTCTGGAAGTGTCACGGGGGAAGAAATGCGGGCCTTTTGACATCTGACATCTCGCTGCCTCTTGACGCCATATTTGCTGAGTTTGTGGGTGCTGTGTGACGCTCCTGCCTTTCACTGGATGATTGGAGCTGCTGAGATGTGGAGGACATTTGCTGCACCTTCCTTTGGTATCTTTGTCGCACGCCGTGTTCGAGGTGGTTTTCTATTGCTGCACTGCATGGGGTGCTGCAAGGCACTAATTTATGCCACGCGGCGGAAATATTTGACGTCGTTGAGGTGCCTTTGGAGGGTGGGAGTGGCGATCCTCCGGCGCGGGTGATCACTGACGGGTTCACACGCCCCTTTGAACTTGCTGTCCCTTTGTTGTACGTTCATGGACTGACCGCGGATATTGCAGAATATATTCGGGCTGCTGCAGCGCTCCATGCATCCAAGGTGTTTTCCTCCGCGCCGTCAACCTCGGCAGCTGATCGACCGGTCTCTTTGAAGGATTTGGGAGGAGGATTCGCTCAATTTGTTCCGCGGCTGGAGTCAATTCCTCCATTTCTGTCAGCTAGACACGCCCACACCGTCACTTTGCTTTTTTTCCTTCAATGGGAGGAAGGGGTGATGACGGACCTTGGGAGACAGTGGCTCTTTTTGTTGCAATCGCCGGAGGTCGGTCAGCAGCAGTCGATACATCAGCCCTTCCTGAGGGTCGGCGACACAAACTCTGTGGCCGAGACGATTTGGATGGGAGTTCACGGGGCAAAATCCGCGCTTTATTTCCGTGCTTATGCCGACGGGATGTAAGTATTTGTCCCTTCCTGTGATGCCTCGGGTGTGCCGTGAAACTACATTGAGGAGAGCACGAGGCGTTAGTGTCACTGTTATTTTTTTGGGCGCCACTGCTCTTTTTGGGTGTGTGATTCGATTGTGTGGTGGGTCTGTTGAGGGGGAGGACGTGGATGGGCCGCACTCACCCGACTGCTGCACCCCATTTTGCTGAACGCCCTGAACTAATCGCTGGTCCCCTTTTGCTTGCCCTATCGGGCCTGGCGACCTCCTGAGGAACGGTGCGACGGCGTGGACTGTCGGGCTGCTGAGGAGGCCGTGGCTGCGCGGGATGTCCTGCGAATTTTTTACGTTTCAGGACTACTGTAGAGAGGAGGGCATTTCATGCCTCCTTCACGTCCAGGAGAGTCAATGGAGGGATCACGGTTGTGGGATCTCACTTCACGAGGGCCTGCGCCCGTTGATCGCGTCGACGGTGCGCTCTGTGTGTCTTCGAGCCCTGCCGGAGCATCCCGCTGTTTTTGTTCCGGTGAACGGGAAAATCCACCGACACGCCGAGGGGGTGGTGGGGGATGTTGCAGCGAGGAACGCTTTAAAGGCCTTGCAGTGAGGGAGCGCTGCTTGCAAGGATCCCGCAGCACTTGGTATTTTTCTTGCACTTACTTTCTGCTGTCTGTCTGTTGGTTGGTGCTGCTTGCCGGAGGGTGTATTGGCCCGTGCGCAAACGTCAGTGTCTCTGATTCTGTGTGCGGCCTCACAGTGCTTGAGCCGTTGTGGACGGGGAGATTAATTACTGTCGCGGTTACGACGACGCTGGTGTGTTACACTGTGGATGGCGGCGCCACCCACTCCCCTGCCACGCTCTGTTTTGGTGGTTTTTAAAGTTTAATTTGATTTCTTGCGCGCAAACACACACGAAGAAGGAAAACAAATGCGAATCGATACTGTGAAATTCGAAGGCTCTGAAAGGACCAACAACAGCACACACACATATTTATATGCTCTCACGTGTTGCTGCTGTCAAGGCACCCCGCACACACAACCGTCGCCGCGTGACCGGATCCAGCGGAAGGAGGAGGGAAGGAAGAGAGAGAGCCGCCGAGACCCAACATGTCGCGGCATTTATTCTATTCTGAGGTGCTGCTCTTCCTGCTCTTCGTGATGATGTGCCGCGGCAGTGGAGCTACAGCCACTGATAAACCAAATTCATGTCAGGGATCTTCACCGGGGAAATATTTTGATTGGAGAGATACAAAAGGTGATGAAACAGTGAGTTTGCTCCGTGTTCCCAGTTTTGTTGAGTTGAATGGTGATGTGTTTGTCGTTGCCGAGGCGCAGTGCACGACGAAGGGATGCGGTTTTACTGGGATTTCCTCGGTGCTTCTGGAGTTGAAGGGTGGGACGCTAAAAGAGGAATTGGATGAGAGTAAATTGAAGACACAAGTACTGGATGAATGTTCTTCCGAAGCAGGGCAATGCTCTTCCCAAATAGGAGTTTTGGCTGATTCCCAAAGAGTGAAGAACGTACATGTGGGCCGGCCAACAACAGTTGTGAAGGGATTTGATGTTTACATGGTTGCTGGAAACTATGGCTGGAAAGCCTCCGCTGATGCTGGGGAGAGTGGAGCAGATGAATTGGGACTTTTACTGGTGAGAGGGAACGTCAG